AGTGGCAAGATGAGTGGGGAAAGCAGGTGGGAAGAAGTTTGTCTTGCCTACTTCTCCTCTGACCTCAACTCTCATACACAAGGGGCTATTTCTTTCAGGTTCAACTGGACCAGAAAGGTGGGGTTTTTCAGATGAAGGCTCGACAGGGATACCAGAGGTGGTACAGGAGCCAGTGAACATGACAAGCTATCCAGTGGGCCATGCTGACCTACTTGGGCTGGGCCCAGAGCTTGTCCAATGATTCCTAACCATTGGCACTCAACCATTTCCCAAAGGAGCGAGCAGGCTGCTCTGACGTCTTAGTCCTCCCAACCCCATCAGCTTTGGGGGAATCTAGTGCTGCCTAATCTCTGCTAGGGTATTCAATGCACCCTTTCCATAATACATCAGAGCAACAAATCACTGGGCACCAACACCAATACCCACGGTCTTCCTGGGCTCTTACGTGGCACACAGGATCCAAACTTATGTGGGAACTCTGAGATCAGGTCATCGTTGACTCTGTCCTTCATTGGGCCCAGGATGATCACGGGCCTTGCATAGTGAACTGGAGAGAGAGCGCATGAAGATAGTGAGCGAGGCCCCGACTGGACAGCCTATTCTACCTACAAGTCTGCCCAGAACACTGAGGCTTGGAGCCACCACTCAGGCAGGGCAGTGTCCACAGCCATTCACTGGCTTTTAACTACAAAGACATCAAAGAGCCTTTACTTTGAGAATATCTAAGTCCGAGGCACCTCCCCTTCCATCAGATTCAGGAGAAATCTCTGCATGGGCAGAGCAGGGCTTTTTTAGAGCAGCCACCGAAGGAACATGACCAGGACCTCCATTTTAGCAGCGGTCACAGCCACTGAAATCTCCCTCTGCCATTCTTGTAAATCCGCCCTACCCTTTGGAAGGCACCCTGGCAGCGAGCACAGGTGAGGCAGGGGTGGGGGTGGGGGTGTGCACACTGGAAGGCCACCCTTTCTCTAACAAAGGAAGAAGGGGAAGAGGACGAGGCCCCAGGGGATACATGTGCCCTCCAGCTCCCCTACACTCTTCCCTGTCACCATTGTGTTGGACCCCATATCTGCCAAGACTGGTTGGAAGGCAAGATTCTCAGAAAATAGCTTACTTTCTTGCCGAGTCACTGGCTCATATGACAAAATAGTATCCTCTTGTCCTTCTGCAACAAAAAGGGAGACATGTTAACACTCCCTAATCTGCTTCCCCACATCCTTATCTTCCTACAAACACTCACATCACTCCTACATGTGTCAAAACAACCTGGTCAAGTTGTGCCTGCTCATACCTGATCCATGGGTCTGTCTGGTTCCTGTTGGCAAAAAAAAGCACAGGAAGCCCTCACCACCCTGGCAGGAGCCGGAGTCTTCTTGTTCAGCAAAATATAGCTAAGCAGAGGCGTGACCCAGAAATCATGAAGCCTGCACCAGAAACCACCCCAAGTTTTCAGGAACTGTTCTTAAGGACAGTCACCTGTGCTCAGTTGCCCACTTGCTCTGATAAGAATTACAGGGAAGCTTCAACTGGTCAAGACACACTACTCCTGTCCCTGTCTCTGCAGGTCCCCAGAGCTGCAGCCTAACTTTGGCCTTTTAAGGGTCTATCTATTGCCCCATTCACTGGAAGAAGCATCCAGAAAAATGGCATAAGACTGGGGTAAGGTCCCCAGTGCCCTTTAAGACCATGCTGAGGCCTGCACTCTCCTCACTGTATCCTAGTAATGAGCTTTTCCCAAAACAGTTGCCAAGTCACTGGGTGCTGAGTGCCTGGAGGTGCCAAAGCAGCTGGTGGCAGTGCCAGGGAAGGCAGCAAAGCTTGCATCAAGCCCAGGATGCCTGTTCACAGGCTTCCTCTGAGCTGAAGACTCCTGGGCAGATTTTCCAAGGCCTCTAGCCACAACTGCCAAGAGGCCAGTGCACCTAAAGTTCATGGAGTTTGGTCTGTGGCTTCTCTAGCTTAGTCACAGAATCTCTGAAGGCAAATGGGACAGGTACCTGATTATTTAACCCACTAAAAGGCAAGGACACCAAGCCTTAACCCAGGAGGGCCTGGTGACCTGGCAAGGCAATTCAGGACACTATCCCACAGGAGCCATCTTTTTTTTTTTTTTTTTTTTTTTTTTTTTTTTTTTTTTTTTGTCTTTGAGCAAATATATAAAATTGGCAGCATCTACAGCCCATAATGTCCCATGGCAGGGATTTCCTCACTGGCAGCTCACCCTTCCCAGGGCCCCAGGGATGCTTTAAGTGAGGTCCCTGGCAGGACAGCAGACTTCTAATCTCCTTTAATTCGCGGCTTGAAGCCCATCCCAGAAGAACAAAATGGCCACAGCATGTCCAGGATCTGAAAGTGCACATGGTTGAAAGAAGCACTAGCCTCTCAACAGAAACGGTAGCCTTGTGATGCTGGAATGAGGGTGGCTGGGACACATGGTGGAGCAACACAACATGGAGGAGAATGACACACACTTACTGGAGCTGCTTTCGCTGTCACTGGTGTTGGATGTCACTCCCTCTGCAAGCCAACAAGAAAGAGACTCCGATTCAGAACACACCCCTGACAGGTCACACGTGGCACAACACTCAAATGCTCCAGGAGCAAGACACTGAGCCGTCAGCCTAATCAGGCCACAGGAGACCTGCCACATCCAGACTACCAACTGGGAGGCACACCTCCAACCCTGAGCCCGGCTACCTCATACTAGTCCACAGAGCCTCTTGGTCTGCCAAGTCCCTCCCTCTACACCACAAGCCCTCCATTCCTTGGCAGCTTCCTCTTCATCTGAATCCAAAGACCTGAAATGGATGGCTTCCAACTCCTATGTCAAAATGTATCTCCCAAGGCTACCAATAGGAAAGGAAAGGCAGTGACAGTAGCAAAGAAAAGTCCAGGGACCAGGCTGCTCTTGAATTTTCCTCCCAGATAGAGGCCCCAAAATACAGAACTGCGCGGTGCTCCTAAATGATAAGGCCAAGCACTGGGCAGGCTGCGCAGTCACCAGGTAACAATGCTTTGACCACTTGGTGGGACCAGCAGCTCTCCTGCCACCACTACCTAGAAGGGAGGGTGTGGCCTGAGCGGTGAGGGGTGCTCCTCCATCCACCCGACAGACGTGGCAAAATACAGACAACAAAGAACACCTGGAGGACAAGACAGCTCTCCTGTCTCAGAGCCTTGGGACCTGCCCACATCCGGGCGTGGGCGAAGAGGCACACACACAGGAGGCACAAGGCAGTCTGGCCCAAACAAAGCCCACCCACCACTCCCCAGACAACAGGCAAATGAAGATGAAACATGGACACAACAAACTATGGAGAGAGACTTTGCTCATTTCAGCCAAGATGACACTTTTCCAGACCGTGATATGCTGTGGCCCCCAGGAAGGACTGGCTGACTCAGCAGCCACAGCTAGTTCCTGAGCAATCCTGAGGACGCTCCTCCACCTTCTCGCCTTTAGGGCTTACTGAGGGAGAGGGTATGCTCACGGAAGCTGCCTGGCATGGCTGCATGTATGTGCTCCTCTGTGCACAGTGGGGGCACTATGGCCCTGCCATCTGTATCCCTTCATTTTCTACTCTAGAATTATTTTCAGAGAGGAGAGGCCAGTCAGGATTCTCACAAGTTAAAGCACTAGATATAGATGGTCCGCAAATGCTGCTGCAACCCCCTCCAGCTCAGCCCCTTAAAAATGCTCTGTAGAAAGCCAGCCTGCATCTGTTTGCTGAGTTCCTGGAACGGCTGGGAGATCCCAGATGCACACTGGGTAAAGGGCTTCACAGTGCTCCTGTCCCTAGTTAAATAGAGTGAATCAGTTCATTCCCAAGCCCAATACTTTAGTGCTGGGTCACTGGGAGAAGACTCCAACCAGCAGGCATCCCTCACCTCAACAACAGGCTATAGATGAGCTGAGTAATCACCCTGGAGAAGTACTTTTGCCCACCTCACTTATAAGGTGGGATGACAAGGGTTGGGCTCCCCACCACTCCAAGGTATAAAAGGAAAACACAGACATGAATGACAGGCTTTTATTACGGTACCAGGGACCCAGAGTAGAAGTATGACATTCACAGCCACTTCTACTTCCTCCTATTGTGGCATTAGAGTTCTCACAAATACTGCCCTCCCTTCACCCTTCACCCTCACCCACACCCACGTCCCCTACACCCCCAACCCCAGCATCACCATTCATGCCCAGAATACGGTGTGTACGTTTGACTTACTCAGGTTCTTTGCTCCATAATAATCGTCACTTAACCCAGGGAAGTCCTGATTTCACAGACAGCAAGGAAAAAGAGAGCGGTAAGAGGGAGAGAGGGAGGGAGGGAGGGAGGAAAGGAAGGAGGGAGGGAGGGAGGGAGAAAATAGAGAAAAAAGACAGGGGAAGGAAGAATACAGAGCCAGGTGAGCATTAGTGACAGAAGTATGAAACACTATGAAGACCTATAGCTATAGTGAGGTTAAGAACTTTGCTATAGAAAGAACGTCCCAGGTCAAATAAGATACCTGGACTTCATTTGCTGCTAGAGGGACTTGGAGAGGACTATCTCAGGTGGTCTACAGCCTACAGGCCAACAGGGCAGGTGACATTTCAAGGCTTGGAGCACATGCCTTAACTAAATTTGTCTTTATAGAGTTAGGTCTCTGCTTTGCCCCTGAAATCACCATTTCCCTCTGTAGTGCATGAAGAGCAAACACCTATGTTTGGCAGGTAGGCAGGCAGAACTGTCATCATCCCAAGGAGCTTTCCCCCAGTATTGATTCCCTCTGCCCAAAGCCTTCAGGGAAAGCTTCATGCAGTCTGAGTGGCCTTCACAGCTGACCTGAGTTGTGTAGACCATGGGGGTTGAGCTCAGCTTTCAGAGGATAAGCACTAGGCAGCTTCATCTCTTACCCAACAGGTAAACTACCCATCAGCTGGGCCACTCAACAGTGCACCCCTCCAGGCTCAATTCAGAGGTTCTGGGACTCATCTGGTGAACTGTGGTGACCATCTCCTACTGCTCACAAGCAGAACCAACTACACCTAGTGCTCTTATTGAGCTCCCTGGGATTGTGAGCCATACCCTTCATCTGGATGAAGGTGTCCTTGTCTTTCCTAGCAACTACCCTAGATGGCAATGACCTACATATACCATGACCATGAATCAGGTTGGCCTAGGAAAAGGGCATTCCCTATCTGAACTAGCCAGTCCTAATAGCCCAGGACCCCAAGACCCCTCCTTGTGAGGCAGAAGAGAGGTTTATAATTCACCATGAACCACATGAGAAATATTTCACCAGCCTGACAGGTCAGAACAGTTAATTTCTAAGGCATCTGTCAGAATATGAATATTCTCAGGATTAAACTGGTTCATAAAAAGTTCAGTTAGCCCAGGCCAGGTGGCTCAGTTGGTTGGAATGTCATCCTTTACACCAAAACGGTGTGGGTTCAACCCCTGGTTGGGGCACGTGCAGGAAACCTATCAATGTTTCTCTCTCACATCAAGGTTTCTCTTTCTCTCTCCTTCGCTCCCTCTCTCTCTAGAAATTAAAAAAAAAAAACCAACAACAACACATATCCTCAGGTGAAAATTTTTATTAAAGTTCATTTAGCTCAGCTATATGGTCTTTTCTACCAAAGCAGCTTCATATTTCTCAATAAATCTTTATTTGGACAATGCTGAGTAGTCCCCCTTCCATGTCAATTCCTTCAGGAAGGTTTTTATTCTGAAAGCTGGCTCTGTAATCACTCTGGGACAATATGGGTTTGTTAGAGCCACGTGGACATCCTGTGTGTAAATGCACGTGTGTGTGATTCAAGACGTAGGCCCAATTCCAGGTGTCCAGCGAAGAAAAGGCTCTTCTCTTGACACAGGCAAGTGAAGTTAAGGGAAAGAAAACACAAGAGGAGGAAGCCAAGGAGAGCAACACTGAGTCCCTAGACCTGGTTCTCTTGAAAATCCAGTTTTCCAAAGCTGGCATTGTGGCTGAGAACTGCTCATCACCACCACAGCAGAGCTCAGCCTGGCACTCCCAATACCAGCACCAGGACTTTCTAGGAGGCCAGCCCCGGAACCATTTCTACTCAGAGCCTCCAACATTCCTTTAGAGTGACGAGCTTGACAAAAAGACCCAATGTCTCCCTGTGCAGACCAACTGCTACCCTGACTCTGCCAACAAGCAGGTACACATGCACACGCATGCACACATGGACACGCCAGCACACACACGTTCCCAGTCCTCTCACAAGGGGAGGTGCAAATGAGAAAGAGGGCGGGGCTGCACGCCAGCTGCTCTCTGTACCCTGCTGCTACTTACGTTCCTGTATGCTGCTCTCCTGGGCCATGTTTTCTTTGCTCTTGTAAAATGGGAACTTTCGAGAGAGGCGGAAACTCTTTTTACGTTTCGTTTTGATCGACTGTGAAAGAACATGAAGATGGAGGGGAAGGACAGAAGAAGAAAAACAAAACAATGGATTTTAAAGCATGCAAGAAAAACTAAAATGGAGACAATGGTGAGCTAAATAAAAGACCATTTTTCACAAATGGAGTCTATGAGATTAAATGAAAGTTGATGTAAGAGGAAAATTATGTTTACAGGAAAATGTTGTAGGGATGTTAGACGTTTCTACCTAATCCAGACTCACAGCACTCACTGGTACTTCCTAAAGCACAAAGGTCACTGTAGCCACCTGGACACATGCCCTAAGATGCTACTGATAACTTCCCTCTACTGCTACCATCGGAACTTCTTTGGCCTGTGAAGCTCATAGAAGAACAGGAATGAATGGAAAGAGCCCTCAATCCTCATCTGGTCTGAAGGGCAGTCAGAGCTGTGGGGCTGCCTCCCTGGCTAGATGATGAGGCCAGATTCTGTTCAGGGTCCCCACAACTCCAACAGTGTCTGCAGCCAGGGAGACACCCACAGTTGTTTCATGTGCCCCAAGCCAGTCAGCCTTGCAGACACTCCGACTCCACCACAACAAGAACCAGTTCCCCGGGAAAAGGAGCACACACACGGGCTGGGGAGTTTGAGGGCCCTCTCTCTGTTCTCCGAAAAGCAGTCAGTATGCTGATAGGACAGAGCCAGCCCCTGACAAAAAGGGATTCTTTTGTTGTCCCCAGTTCTCTTATCCACCACACAGACTCCAAGCTTCTTACTCCTCTTCACATATTGGCTGACTCCCTTGGGGATCCCCACTTACCCTATTAGACTCAATCATGCCCGTCCTGGCATGGAACTTCACGGTTTTCAATCGAGCTCTTTCTTTCTTTTCGACCCTGTTTTGGAAACAGAAACAAGTCCTATTACTGCCAGTGCATAGTCTCAGCAGTGGATTGCAATGGACACAGCAGCCACCTTTTGGTTCATTGAGTCATAACCATGTCCTGAGTACCAACTCTCTACCAAAAAGGAATAATGAAGCAAACCCTTTGCAAGCAACTTACAGTATAATCAGCAAAAAAGAAATCAGTACCAAGGAAAGGATGAGGAAGGCCTCTCTTGTGATCATGACAACTCACCTCTTCTTACTGGGGATCACACCGATTTGCTCGCTTTCTCCATGTGGGGTCACCAGTCTTGCCTGCCACCACTCATCATCAGAGGCATTAATAACATGCAGAATGTCACCATAGGAGAAGCTGAGCCCCTGGCTTGGCAGGCAACTGTCCCGTGTCCGGTCATAATCAAACAGGGCCCTGAAACGCACAGTGGAAGATGAAGTGATCATTGTAACCCTCAATGCCAGGTAGCCGACACTCTGAAAGGATGGCATTGAAAGGCCAACCCACAGGGTCAGCGCAGATCCAACAGCCTCACAGTAGCCCAGAAAAAATTATTTTCTGTCAGCCCGACATTAATGTGTGCCAGGTTCTCAAACAAACATTTTATTCCCCATCAAGGGACAATCTTTCTGACTCCCATCTCTTCCCAGCTTCTAGACACAAGAAGACACTCAATAGACCTCTCCCTCACCCACATCCTAGGGCAATGATGGCGAACCTATGACACGTGTGTCAGAGGTGACACACAAACTAATTTTTTTGGTTGATTTTTCTTTGTTAAATGGCATTTAAATAGATAAAATAAATATCAAAAATATAAATCTTTGTTTTACTATGGTTGCAAATATCAAAAAATTTCTATATGTGACACGGCACCAGAGTTAAATTAGGGTTTTTCAAAACGCTGACACACCGAGCTCAAAAGGTTCGCCATCACTGTCCTAGGGAAACAAATTAGCTCTACCAATGGGCTTTCTCTATTTACAAATGTATCCTCAAAAAGCAGTTGAAGATAGGACATAAAAATGTTAACTACAACCCCAAACAATGAATGGTATAGAATGGTATTCGATGCTGTAGAAACACAAATGAGAAAAGGGCCCTGTGTCCTGGGGCAGCCAAGAAAAAAGTTAAGGCTGATGTTGACCCACATGATGATAAAGTTGAAAGGGAACCTAAGAAGAAGTCTCCTAGTTCAGTCTGTCTCTCTGTCTGATATATACATATAAGAAAATAGAGGCTCTGAGAAGAAGAATAATTTGATATAGGTTACACACCTAACTAACGTGGGACAGAAGTCAGGTCCTGTGACAAGCCATGCAGAGCGAAGAGATAAAGGGGACAATGGGAGAAGGTTGGGAGGGAGCTATACCATGCAGGCTTGAGAAAGAGGAGGTGCAGCTGGAAGTCATAGGAAATGAGGTTGGAAATAAAGATCGAAGGCACATTTTAGAAGGCCTCTGAAGGTTTGAGAGTAGGGAAGTGATACTTCAAGACAGACTTAAGAACATAAGTCTGACTTCATATGTAATGGGATAACAGGGTAGAGGTGGATTTGAAGGCAAATTTAGACTGAAGCTACAAACTCAATCCTTGAGGATCCACAGCTGACTTGGGCTCTGATGAAGCTGGTCTTTTACACCAGAGCTCCTGCCCAGGGAACAATTCACCTGCCTGAAAGTGTTTCCTTTTAGCCTCCACTGCATCTCTCCTCAAATGGAGTTCCCACAAATGGGTGACTTCAGTGAGAAGTTTCTATTTTTCTACTTGCAACCTAGGCTCTGGTTGTCTTCTTCATTTTCCCATTAACACCTCTGCACACACAGCCTGGTGGATTTCCCAGAACTAGTCCAAGACTTAGACATCTACCTGCAATAAGTTATACTAGGGCTCAGATGGAAGCTGCCAAGGAAAACACACTATTTCCTCACATGCAGGCCCAAACGGAATAGAGAATATAGTAAAAAAAACTGTGGAGAGTGAAATACCCACTGACTTTTGAAACTTCTTGAAACAGAATCCTTAAGAAATAAGTGTCAAGTCCAGCCTGTGTGACACAGCTGGGTGAGCATCGTTCATACATCAAGTGGTCACTGGTTTGATACCTGGTCAGGGCACATACCCGGGCTGCAGGCTCAATCCCCACTAGGGGCCTGCCGGAGGCAGCAACTGATGATGTTTCTCTCTCATTGATGTTTCTATCTCTCTCTCCCTCTTCCTTCCTCTCTCTCCAAAATCAATTTTAAAACATTTTTAAAAAAAGAAATCAGTGTCAGATTATTTAAAAATGATAATACCCAAACTCTGAAGAAAAGCCCTTTATCTCCCTTGTCAAGTTACACATTTAGACTAGTAAGGAGAGAGGCCAAGGCCAGCAGGGTGAAGGAGGTGCTTGCTCTGTCTCAAAGTTCTGAGTTCTGTGTGACACAGTCAAATCTGAATGTGTTTGTGCTACACTTGAGACTGCATTTCCTGAAGCAAGGAAGGCTTTCTGGAAGTTGTTCCTACAAAGATGAGCACGGTGAAGACGTTATTCTAAGTGACAATGAAAAACACTAAATGGCATTATGAGCTTCAAAGGTCAAAACAAATGTAGTAAAGAAAACAACAGAACTTGGATGAAGCCCCAATTAGTTTGGGGAGGGACTAAAGCAAGATGTTAAAATGACAAAGAGAAAATGGGCTCTAGCTGGTTTGTCTCAGCGGGTAGAGTGTTGGCCTGCGGACCGAAGGGTCCTAGGTTAGATTCAGGCCAAGGGCACATGCCTGGGTTCTGGGCTTGATCCCCAGTAGGGGGTGTGCAGGAGGCAGCTGATCAATGATTCTCTCTCATCATGGATGTTTCTCTCTATCCTTCTCCCTTCCTCTCTGAAATCAATAAAAATATATTTTTAAAAAAGAGAAATTGGGATGAGGTTACAGAAGATTAGAAGGGAGTTTACTGGCTACAAGTTTAAAGCACAAGAAAAGGGGTGATTAGGCAAGGAATTAATATTTTTATATATGCTATTATAATATTTGAGATTTTAAACTGTTCATTGATTTCATTAAAAGTTAAATTAAAATAATAAGCTCATTATAGTATACTTTAAAATATTTTTCTTGTTTAACTATTTTTAAATATTTATTGAATTTATTTGGGTAATATTGGTTAATAAAATTATATAGGTTTCAGGAATTCTATAATACATCATCTGTATATTGTATTATGTGTTCATCACCCTAAGTCAAGTCTCATACCACCATTTATCCCCTCTATACCCTCTTCTACCTCTTCTCACCCATTTCCTTCTAGCAATCATCATAAAGGGTTGTCTGTGTCTATGAGTATTTCTTTTTGCTTAATCCCTTCACCTTTTTCATCCAACTCCCAACCACCTCCCCACTGACAGCTGTCAGTCTGCTCTCTAAGAATCTGTTCATATTTTGTTTTAGTTTGCCCATTAGATTCCACAAATGAGTGAAATCATATGGTATTTATCTTTCTCTGACGGGCTTATTTCATTTAGCATAATACTCTCCAGGTCCATCCATGCTGTTGCAAAAGGTAAGGAAAATATCAGGTCTAAGAAAAGAAAAATCACATTTAACATTACTTAGAAATAACCACTCTTTGGCAAATATGTTCTCCCATGCAGTGGGCTTTCTTATTGTTCTGTGGGTGGTTTCTTTTGCTGTGCAGAAGCTTTTTATTTTGATGTAGTCACATTTGTTTATTTTCTCCTTAGTCTCCATTGCCCTAGGAGCTGTGTCTGTAAAGATATTGCTATGACAAATGTCTGATATTTTGCTGCCTATGGATTCTTCTAAGAGTTTTATGGTTTCCCATCTTACATTTAAGTCCTTTAGCCATTTTGAGTTTGTTTTTGTGTCTTGGTGATCTAGTTTCATTTTTTTGCATGTATCTGACCAAATTTCCCAGCACCATTTATTAAAGAGGCTGTCTTGACTTCATTGTATCCTCTTGCCTCCTTGTCAAATATTAATTGAGTATAATGAAGGGGTGGGCAAACTTTTTGACTCGAGGGCCACAATGGGTTCTTAAACTGGACTCAGAAGAAGGAGCTGCGGCCGTGTTTCCCAACGTTGCCATGTTAACACTGCTGCTGGTAAAGGAGCGGAGGGGAGAGCAAGAGAACCCTCCGCTCTTTCGGCTCCGCGGCCGGATAGAACAGCCGAACGGGCCGGATCTGGCCCGCGGGCCGTAGTTTGCCCACGGCTGGTATAATGGCTTGGGTCAATTTCTGGGTTCTCTGTTCTGTTCCATTGGTCTACATGACTGTTCTTGTGTCAGTACCAGGCAGTTTTGAGTACTGTGGCTTGGTAATATAGTTTGATATCTGGTTTTGTGATCCCTCCAACTTTGTTATTCTTTCTCAGAGAACTCATACAATTTAACAAAAGGAAGATAAACAATCCAATCAAAAAATGGGCAAAGGACCTAAATAGACACTTTTCAAAAGAGGACATACAGAAGGCCGAGAGACATATGAAAACATGCTCAAAGTCACTAATCATCTGAGAGATGCAAATCAAAACAACAATGAGGTACCATCTCACACCTGTCAGAATCACTATCATCAACAAATAAACAAACGACAAGTGGTGGCGAGGATGTGGAGAAAAAGGAACCCTCGCGCACTGCTCTTGGGAATGCAGACTGGTGCAGCCACTATGGAAGATAGTATGGAGTTTCCTCAAAAAGTTAAAAATGGAACTCCCATTTGACCCAGTGGTCCCACTTCTAGGACTATATCCCAAGAATCCAGAAACACCAGTCAGAAAGGATATATGCACCCCTATGTTCTTAGCAGCACAATTTACAGTAGCCAAGATTTGGAAACAGCCTAAATGCCCAACAACAGATGAGTGGATTAAAAAACTGTGGTACATCTACACAATGGAACACTATGCTACTATAAAAAAGAAGGAACTTATACCATTTGCAACAGTATGGATGGACCTGGAGAGCAGTATGCTAAGCAAAATAAGCCAGTCAGAGAAAGATAAATATCACATGATCTCACTCATATGTAGGATATAATGATCAATGTAAACTAATGAACAAAAATAGATCCAGAGACAAATGGCGGGTGGGGGGTAAGAGATCAACCAAAGGACTTGTATGCATGCATATTAGCATAACCAATGGACACAGACACTGGGGCAGTGGGGGCTTACCTTCAGGGATGGGAGTGGCAGGGGGTGTCAATCAGGGAAAAAGGAGACATATGTAATACTTTAAACAATAAAAAAAGTAAATTAAAAAAAGAAATAACCACTCTTCATATTTATGTGGTATCGTATAATATTGTGTAATAAAAACACAAACAAAAAAATACATATTTCACTAAGTTGGAAACATGCTGTGCATACATAATTTTGCAACCTTAGTTGTCACTTGAAATTATATC